GTCGACAAATGCTGTTTTTCTAGATTTCCAGACGACACGTTAGGGAGTTTTTTCGCGTGGTTTTGGACCTTGCTCGTCCTTCCGAGCCATGGCGTTTTGCTGCCGGGAGCTGCTTTTTTCGAAGCTGTTTTACCGGCATCAGCAGCAGCAGCCGCCGCCACCAGTTCTGCGAGCAGCCGCAGGCAACGCAGGCAACAGAATCTTTCGACCTTGCTCGTCCTTCAGAGCCATGGTGTTTTGCTGCCGGGGCTGCTTTTTTCGAAGCTGTTTTACCGGCATCAGCAGCAGCAGCCGCAGGCAGCACAGAATCTCTCGACAAATGCTGTTTTTCTAGATTTTCTAGATTTCAGACGACACATTAGGGAGTTTTTTCGCGTGGTTTTGGACCTTGCTCGTCCTTCCGAGCCATGGTGTTTTGCTGCCGGGAGCTGCTTTTTTCGAAGCTGTTTTACCGGCATCAGCAGCAGCAGCCGCCGCCACCAGTTCTGCGAGCAGCCGCAGGCAACAGAATCTGTCGACAAATGCTGTTTTTCTAGATTTCCAGACGACACGTTAGGGAGTTTTTTGGCGTGGTTCTGGACCTTGCTCGTCCTTCAGAGCCATGGTGTTTTGCTGCCGGGAGCTGCTTTTTTCGAAGCTGGTTTACTGGCATCAGCAGCAGCAGCCGCCGCCACCAGTCGTGCGAGCAGCCGTAGGCGACAGAATCTCTCGACAATCGACAAATGCTGTTTTTCTATGCTGTTTCTATGCTGTTTTTTTGCTGTTTTTCTAGCACATTTTTTCTAGCATTTCAGACGACACGTTTGGGAGGTTTTTTGGCGTGGTTCTGGAACTTGCTCGTCCTTCGGAGCCATGGTGTTTTGCTGCCGGGAGCTGCTTTTTTCGAAGCTATTGTACCGGCATCAGCAGCAGCAGCCGCCACCTGCGAGCAGCTGCAGGCGACAGACTCTCTCGAAAAAAGCTGTTTTTCCAGGATTTCAAACGACATCAGCAGCAGCAGCCGCCGCCACCAGTTCTGCGAGCAGCCGCAGGCAACAGAATCTGTCGACAAATGCTGTTTTTCTAGATTTCCAGACGACACGTTAGGGAGTTTTTTCGCGTGGTTTTGGACCTTGCTCGTCCTTCCGAGCCATGGTGTTTTGCTGCCGGGAGCTGCTTTTTTCGAAGCTGTTTTACCGGCATCAGCAGCAGCAGCCGCCGCCACCAGTTCTGCGAGCAGCCGCAGGCAACAGAATCTGTCGACAAATGCTGTTTTTCTAGATTTCCAGACGACACGTTAGGGAGTTTTTTCGCGTGGTTTTGGACCTTGCTCGTCCTTCCGAGCCATGGTGTTTTGCTGCCGGGAGCTGCTTTTTTCGAAGCTGTTTTACCGGCATCAGCAGCAGCAGCCGCCGCCACCAGTTCTGCGAGCAGCCGCAGGCAACGCAGGCAACAGAATCTTTCGACCTTGCTCGTCCTTCAGAGCCATGGTGTTTTGCTGCCGGGGGCTGCTTTTTTCGAAGCTGTTTTACCGGCATCAGCAGCAGCAGCCGCAGGCAACAGAATCTCTCGACAAATGCTGTTTTTCTAGTTCTAGATTTTTCTAGATTTCCAGACGACACGTTAGGGAGTTTTTTCGCGTGGTTTTGGACCTTGCTCGTCCTTCCGAGCCATGGTGTTTTGCTGCCGGGAGCTGCTTTTTTCGAAGCTGTTTTACCGGCATCAGCAGCAGCAGCCGCCGCCACCAGTTCTGCGAGCAGCCGCAGGTAACAGAATCTTTCGACCTTGCTCGTCCTTCAGAGCTATGGTGTTTTGCTGCCGGGGGCTGCTTTTTTCGAAGCTGTTTTACCGGCATCAGCAGCAGCAACCGTCGCCACCAGTCCTGCGAGCAGCCGCAGGCAACAGAATCTCTTGACAATCTCTCGACAATGTGCTGTTTTTCTAGGATTTCAGACGACACGTTAGGGAGTTTTTTGGCGTGGTTCTGGACCTTGCTCGTCCTTCAGAGCCATGGTGTTTTGCTGCCGGGAGCTGCTTTTTTCGAAGCTGTTTTACCGGCATCAGCAGCAGCAGCCGCCGCCACCAGTTCTGCGAGCAGCCGCAGGCAACAGAATCTGTCGACAAATGCTGTTTTTCTAGATTTCCAGACGACACGTTAGGGAGTTTTTTCGCGTGGTTTTGGACCTTGCTCGTCCTTCCGAGCCATGGTGTTTTGCTGCCGGGAGCTGCTTTTTTCGAAGCTGTTTTACCGGCATCAGCAGCAGCAGCCGCCGCCACCAGTTCTGCGAGCAGCCGCAAGCAACAGAATCTTTCGACCTTGCTCGTCCTTTCAGAGCCATGGTGTTTTGCTGCCGGGGGCTGCTTTTTTCGAAGCTGTTTTACCGGCATCAGCAGCAGCAGCCGCAGGCAACAGAATCTCTCGACAAATGCTGTTTTTCTAGATTTTTCTAGATTTCCAGACGACACGTTAGGGAGTTTTTTCGCGTGGTTTTGGACCTTGCTCGTCCTTCCGAGCCATGGTGTTTTGCTGCCGGGAGCTGCTTTTTTCGAAGCTGTTTTACCGGCATCAGCAGCAGCAGCCGCCGCCACCACTTCTGCGAGCAGCCGCAGGTAACAGAATCTTTCGACCTTGCTCGTCCTTCAGAGCTATGGTGTTTTGCTGCCGGGGGCTGCTTTTTTCGAAGCTGTTTTACCGGCATCAGCAGCAGCAACCGTCGCCACCAGTCCTGCGAGCAGCCGCAGGCAACAGAATCTCTTGACAATCTCTCGACAATGTGCTGTTTTTCTAGGATTTCAGACGACACGTTAGGGAGTTTTTTGGCGTGGTTCTGGACCTTGCTCGTCCTTCAGAGCCATGGTGTTTTGCTGCCGGGAGCTGCTTTTTTCGAAGCTGGTTTACTGGCATCAGCAGCAGCAGCAGCCGCCGCCACCAGTCGTGCGAGCAGCCGTAGGCGACAGAATCTCTCGACAATCGACAAATGCTGTTTTTCTATGCTGTTTCTATGCTGTTTTTTTGCTGTTTTTCTAGCACATTTTTTCTAGCATTTCAGACGACACGTTTGGGAGGTTTTTTGGCGTGGTTCTGGAACTTGCTCGTCCTTCGGAGCCATGGTGTTTTGCTGCCGGGAGCTGCTTTTTTCGAAGCTATTGTACCGGCATCAGCAGCAGCAGCCGCCACCTGCGAGCAGCTGCAGGCGACAGACTCTCTCGAAAAAAGCTGTTTTTCCAGGATTTCAGACGACACGTTAGGCAGTTTTTTAGCGTGGTTCTAAAACTTGCTCGTTCTTTAGAGCCATGGTTTTTTGCTGCCGGGAGCTGCCGGCAGGTGCTTTTTTCGAAGCTATTTTCCTGCGAGTAGCTGCAGGCAACAGAATCTCTCGACAAATGCTGTTTTTCTATAGAATTTTCTCTAGAATTTCAGACGACCGGTTAGGGAGTTTTTTGGCGTGGTTCTGGAACTTGCTCGTGTTTCAGAGCCATAGTGTTTTGTTGCCGGGAACTGCTTTTTTCGAAGCTGGTTGACCGGCATCCGCAGCAGCAGCAGCCGAATACAATGACAGTACATTTACATTACACCAAATTACACTACATAACTTTACATTGCAAGGTACATACCAGCCAAAGTCCATCAAACTGCGCGGACAAAACCATGGTAAGAATGTCCAAGCGTTATGTCTGGGTTCCATTTAGTATTTCCTTCAAACCTTATTAGAGTGTCGTCTAGGGTCTCTTTAGGATGCATTTAAAGTTTCATTCAAATGGTTTCTTTAGGTCAATTTCTGGTTTCTTTAGGGTTCATTTCATTTAGGATCCAAACAGAAGAGAATAAAACAAAAGAATTAGAATTTCATGCCGAGCTTCTCTGGGATTCACTCGGGTTTCGCGTTTCTTAAAGATTTACATCTCTTAAAAGTTTTCTTTCGAGTTTCTTTAAGGTTTCTGTCGAATTTCATGCAGGGTTTGCTTTAGGAATTCTTTCAGGTCTTCCGGGGTCGGCGGCAGGGGCGGCAGCCCTTAAATATACATTTCCTCTACTATGAAATTTGCGGGCAAAGTAGGTGTTTAAACCTAAACCTGAGCTGCAGATCTGCTCCTCCATCCGGTGTCTCTTGGAGGATCCCTCACTGTTGGTTGGATGCCCGCCACGCAGTGACAGATCGTCTCCACCACTGCATGGACCAACCTGGCCAGGCATCTTGAGGTCTCATGTGGCTCTAAAGTCTTCAAGAATCATAGGGTATGTTAGGATATGATAGGATATGATTGGATCCACCAATGATATCTATGATATGTAGGTGGCTTCAACCCATCGACAAAATGAAAGGTTATTGGGGGAAAAAACACCATCCCAATTGATGGGATTTCAAAGAAAATGAAAACTTGAAAACAAGCAGAACACTATAGATTTAAACCTTCTCCAATGCCTTTTACGGGGTCTGTCCAATGCCTAAAAGGGATCATCACTGAAACCCTACTCCAAAGATCCTATTGTTGACCGTTGCATCCCAATTACAATATATCGATGACATTTTATAACTACATCGACTATATCCTATATTCCCAAATCAGTTGGTTAAATCTGCATGAATTCCTTTTCTCCTACAAGGAATGCCTTCCCAGCAATCGGCTCAGTCCCACCCAGCAGAAGCAGTCGTACCTCGGAGGCCTAGAAGCTGCTCGCAGGGTGGGAATGCGGCCAGCCTTGCCAAGTGTCCATCGTTTCTACCAGCAATATCCAGATTACAAGGGGTTCCTGCAATGGACAGCGCCTCGATTTGGGCGGCTGAATTCCTCACAAGTCGAGCCTGCGCGGAGACCCAATTGAGTTTTGGAAGCTCATTTAAGTGAGCAGTGTTTTTCCAAGCCCTCTTTCATTCCAGTACTGAGTACTGGTTGTTACTGCTTGGTGAATAGGAATTCCAAGAAATTCATGGATTCTGATCATCCCCGATAGCTGGATGCGATAATTGTCAGATCATGTAGATCTAAAACCCCCGTCTTCACGGCGATGTTGGAACAGCCTTTTCTGCCATCTCCTTGGCAAAGCCAGAGGCCTCGGCTCAGGTTTCATCTAAGAACCAAGTTTCGCCAGTTATGTGTGCTGAAAGTTTGGCTGGGCCAAAACAGTGGCGACATCTGGTGAAAATTGGTGAAGCATACGCCATATAAAACCTGAGGCGCGATCCAAAATCAGCTGATGCGGCTCAACACCTCGAGCAATGATGCGATATGGATCACTGTCATCTGACATTATGGAATTCCCTTCACAATTTTCACATCTCCCAGATCTTTGTGCGATAGTGAGCCCTTTCCCACTGCTCTTCACGGTTCCCCCCCTGCTTGTGCTCAACATCATTACGCAAGTGTCAAGAAGCTCAGCAAGTATCCTGTCAGTGCAGAATATTTTTTGTTTGTCCGAAAATAGGGCAGACCCCAAAAATTGCAATTTTAATGGAATTATATGTGTTTAATTAATTGTTTTTACACCGGGATTGGAGGTGCCCGCGGAGGAAACGCCCATCAAAAAGGTACCATGTCGACAGACTGGACGCCCCTTTCGACATTGATTCCATTTTTGGGTGTTTCTCAGATTTCTCAAAATCGGAGGAGTCCTCCGAAACATCCCAAAACCATTGATTTCCATATAGAAAAATGACTAAGAAGTTGGATACCTTGGGAGATTTTGGGGGAATCCCCCATGTCTTGAGAGTTACACCCGTTTGGAATAAATCACAGACACCGAAGGGGCGCCTAAACACATGGCACCCACAGCTTGCATGATGGCTTCTCGCATCAAAGCCTCCTCCTGCAGCACTGAGGGGTTTCCATAGTCATGGGGGTACCCAATAGCTGGATGGTTTATCAGGGGAAGTCCTACAAAAATGAATGTTTTCGGGGTACCCCTATTCTTAGGAAACCTCCATAGAGTCATCATATGGAATCATAAAAAATCTATAAAAATCATCAATCCGGATCAAAGATCTGATCTGGATCCAACCCGAAACCATCCTAAACCTAACCCTTCCATACCCTTCCACATCTATCCAGTCCCAGTCCTTTGCCCTCAGAATGTTGCTTGGCAGCTTAACGAACTTATGGTAGATCCGTGGTGGCACCTCAGCCGACATGCGAGGTCAACGGCAGTTGATGGCCGTTTTCATAGGGAAAATCTGCTGAATCCTCTATTTCAAAATGGGGAATGGGGATCCATTTTTTAAGATCTATTCAAAGATCTACCTGTACTTAAAAACATTAACCATGGGGATCCATTGGGAATGGGAAAAGTTCCCTGTGAGAAAATGTTCAGGCTCCTACTGCCACGGCGGCCGCTCGTGAATATGCCTGTGAGGCAAAGGTGCTGCATGGTTCCCATTTCGTGAGGCCGAGCTTTTTTAGCTGATGAAAAACTGCCATTTGAAGACAAACTGCAAACATTTTACCAAATGGGTTTGTCTGAAAATGGGGTATACCCCCAATTATAGCCATTTAATAGGGATAATGATCAGCAAAACCATTGGGTAAAAAGGGGTTTTCTCGACATTTTCAGACACACCTAAATGGCGCCAAGAATATGTGGTAAAGCCAATGCCATAAACATCCCCAGTCCCCAGTCATGGTATAATTTTATGGCATCAGCTTCCCGGCCTTGACGATGCTTTGCGAATGACCACCATTGATGGCAATGTCCAGGTAGCTCACCGAGCTTTTCTGCGCAAACATGTGACCAAACAGGAACAGGATGAATATATAGTGGTTGATATAAGTATAAATATAGATATACGCATGTATGTATTCTACATACGCGTGTATATTAATTTATATATATATATATGTCCACATCATAGTCCATACTTGCTATACATAATTATATATGCTAGTACATATTATGTGATGTGAAACAAACTGCAGTGATTTGAATTGCGGATCTGGCCTTCAACAAAGATCTCGAATGCAACCAATGGGCTGCCTCGAATGGGACTCGCTTTTTTTCACGAATGCCCAAGCAGCGCAGTTTCCAAAGCTCCTCAAATTGTTCCAGTTTCCACAGGTTCCTTCCAAAACAAACAGACTGCTGATACTTCCTTGAACCCATTGCTGCTTGTGGTCGCAATCTCAACTAGATCACGAGGCAACTTAGCGCGCCACTAACTGCACAGTTGGGTCATCCGAACTGAAAGGCCAGTTCTCTACCTTAAGGTTCAGGTTCTGTCAAACAAGAGGATGAACAACACCTTGTCACTCTTCCATTGTCCGATCAAATGTCCAGAAACATCCTAAACCATTCCCAACCTCCAGAAATTCCACACATCCCATTGGCTCCACCCGCCACCAAGGGACCAGTGTGTGTAGATCATGCTCTTTGGGCGGCATTCCAGTCACACCAAACCTCTGCCGATGCGTAACCTTTGGACATCTATGGATCACCATGGATCACCGTGGATGTATGGCGTCACCAATTTATGGATGGCCAGGTCGAATTGCGATGGACGTAGAGAGAGATATGGCTATGAGTCAAAACTGTGTATGGAACGTTCCGCGCTGTTCCGGACGTATGGAACGAAGGGGTTTCGTAATTGGTCTTGTTCCGGACCTTTGGAATTGTGATGAAATATAAGTTGTACATATATATATATATATATGTATACTGTAAATATGTGTAATATATGTATATATGATTACATCTCAAGGATATGCACGTTGAAGCTACTACCGCTGGCTGCCGCTCATTTTTACTTCTCATCTGTGCGGCATCCTTGTTGTACACCTGTTCAACGCAGGTTTGCCTTGCATGGCTAGTGCTCGTGCACTAGCTAGGACATAACTGGTAGCCTGGTAGCCAGCCTCACCCACTGGCTACTATGTGAAGCTGTCCGCTCAGCTTCAGACCTGTCACGCAGGTCCCACCTCCTACTCTTCTAACTCAGAAGTCCCGGTCCCTATGGGGTAGATTGTGTCCCCGCGGTCCCCGCGTAGCAAGACTCTAGGCTCCCAAAACCCACGCGCAAAGGATGGCTTAGGAGCAGTCTATGTGAGAACCTGCCGTTTGTTCACGCGGAAGCGGGTCATGGATGGTACATGGGTGGTCCGGGTCTGGAACGGGTATGGAACGGTATGGAACGGGGTCTGGAACGAAACGGCCCACTCCAGCACAGCTCTGCCACCACGAAGCGCATCTTTATCAAAATTGGCAGTGTGGAGCGAGAGTAGCGCAGCAAGCAATTCTTAGACTCTTAGACTGCCAGCTGGCAACAGCCAAGCGCATCTCTACCATCAAACATCACAGCTGTGCCACAGCGGGCAGCAACTGTAAGTGGTGCAGGCGCAAACCTGCCACAGGTTGAGAGGGAGGGAGGGTTACAAGCAATCCATTCTTAGACTGCCAGCTGACAACAGCCAAGCACATCCCTACCATCACACAACAAACGCTGCAGGCACAGACTTGCCAACACAATCACAGGGCTCGGGCATAGTAAACCTATTCTTGCATGTACACACTCATGTATGTATGTGCGCTCAAGTATGCGCGTACAAATGTAAAATCAGACTGCGCATATTCAGGTGTGTATATATATATATATATCATAACGTATGGATCAGAGGTATGGAACAGAGGTATGGAACGGATCCTTCAAGGAGGTATGGAACGGGGGTATGGAACGGGGGTATGGAACGGGTGTGGTCTCGGAGCTTGTTCCGGACCTCCTATTTTGACTTGCACCCATATATATATATACACATACACAGGATGAAGCCTGGGCCTGGGATGGATATGGGAATTTATACACTGACAATTATATACATCTATCTATATCTATCCATGCACAAACACAGACAAATACAAACATTATTGTGTATATATTCTAAATATGTCTACACAATATGTACATATATATATATACATATATATATATGTGTGTTATTTATATATATATATGTATATACAAAAATAGTAACCCCCAACATGATAGAACAGTGTGTCCAGGATGCTAGGTCGATGATATATGGGCTATGGTCATCCGTCCTGGAATGGGAATCCAAATATCAGGAGTATAAATCCCTATAAAATCTATAAATGGAATGGTGGCCCTCCCTCAACTTTGACCTAATCTAATCCAATTTTTGACCATGGCACATACAACATCTGGATTGATCCAGATATTTGTCCGTAGAAAACAAGCAAAAACCTTGACATCTGGATTAAATTCCCCTTGCCATCTGGTTATTTAACATAGCCATGGTATAGATGGCCCATAGAAATAGATGGTTTACCTATACAAAAATGCTGATTTTCCATGGCAAACTGTGAATGTCATAACCAGAGGGTAAATCCACCAGAACGGCTAGACCTGTCCAAGGGCCCCGGCTTTGTTAGGCTCATGAGCACGCTGGGATGTGGTGCCTGGATGGCGTCCTCTCCCTCGGGGACTTCCACCTGACGAAGAAACCCCGAGGGAAAACTATTGAAAAGCCAGGCTTCATGGAGGTTTGACCACCAAAAATGAGAAGTTATATCATATTATATATTATTTTGGCGGTTAATCTATAATATATTAAGTTTATCATATATGTATATATATAATATATTAATATATACCATATTATTTAATATGTTTACATCTTTCAGACCTGCCTCGGCAAAAGCCTCTGCGCGCATGTAGTCAGATTCCTCCACCGCATCATGTATTGCTTCCCCTGGCAAGCTCAGGTTTGAAATCAACACAGCACTCGAATGCCGCTTAAAATGTTGGTCAAAAAAGAACATGATATGGTCACTATATGAATTATATGATCTCTACACCAAGGGCCAATGATTGTTGAGAAAAATCATCCTTGTCACTTGTCCCACGTTTTTTTTGCGACCAAATATCCTTCACCAAATCATCACAGCACCGCTGCGGAGACGTCGTAACCAGGGAGAGGAGGCGTAGAGCGTTGGTGGCTTCTCGGTAGCGGTTCTTCGCCACCTAAGTGGGGGATGGCCTTGGATGGTGCCACGGGGGATCTGGGAAATATGATCATTATATATATGAATATATATATATTACTATTATAAAATGATATAAAATGGATTAAAATGTTGATTTGGGCACACTTGGTATATCTTGCTATACTATACCAATTTGTCCACTTAAATCATGACAAATCCATTAATATACAGTAGATGTTATGTTCGATATCATTACCATCCCATTGCAGTCAAAGATGGACGCTGCCAGAAAAACGGCCTAAGTGGCGCACAGTCGCTTTCCACTTGATACCAGCCATCTGGTTATGAAGTGCTGATGTTCCTGTGGGTATCCATTGTGGGCCATTGGTCAATCATGGTCAATCGACACCACTGGGTTCAAGGTCAACAACCTGCCATTGCGAAATGTTGGACATGTTCCAATCTGACCACGCGCGACATGCAGGTAATTCTGGCCTCCCTTTCCCTTTGGCTTCACGGACGCGTCGAATTGCCAAATCTTAGCAAGCAGCATGGCTCAGGGCAGCAAAGCTTTGAGCTAAAGCCGATAGCATTACATATGTTGCATTTCACAGCACTATATAGCATTATATAGCATAGCTTGCACGCCTCACAATATTCACAATGCCTCTCAAGTGTATCGGTCCACAGCTACCTTTTGCAGCGCTATTGGGATTTTCTCAGCGCCCATAATTCTAGGCACTGTACCCTCTGGTAATTTAACATAGCTATGGAAAATCACCATTTTTAATGGGAAATTCCACTATAAATGGCCATTTTCAATAGCTATGTTAGTTTACCAGAGGGTAGAGTTCCATGGATGTTCCCTCAGGTTCCAATGGTTTCCTGGGGCTCTGACTCTCTGAAGTTTCCAACCATCCTGAACCGCAGTTTCGAGAAACAAAAAAGGAACAAGTTGCCGAAAGGATACCATCCTCAGCCAGTCCTTGGCCTCTAAAGCGTTCCGAGCCGCCTTGGCATCAGTGGTAGCACTTGTGACTCCCCATATGTTGTTGGATGTTGTTGGTTAAAGAATGTTGAAGATTTTTCTTGGAACTACCCAAAGTCAGAACGGTCCAAGAGATTCCAAGTGTAAGTTTCTGAATCTCCGGACATGAATGTAGGATCACACCCTTGGAGCTGTGCCAAGGAGTCCAATGTCCCCCACACCAAGGCGCGCAATCTCCAAACTTTCTCCAAGGCCACGGCATTTTCGTGCTCGCTGATCCGCTTCTGGGTTGCTAGTCGCACCAGGTCATCTGGGAACAGGGACCGCTTGTGGGTGGGGGCAAATGGGTCAAGGCAAATGATCCAAAACCAGTGAAAGCCCTGACTGCTCGGAGATGTTTTTGAGGCACCTTTGGACCACTCCCAGTTATCCAGCACATGCCTGGCATGCTGGGAAAACAGGCTGTCATGGCAAGCTGTTTCTGTGCTGTTTGAACTCACTCGTCTTTCATGCATATGGAGGTTCAATCTGCCCAAGCCAGCAGCACGCCAGGGCCACGATATCCATTGGAGGACCCATCATCCTCGCAGTCCGTTGCTGCAAACATCTATATCAACCGCATCAACGATGCAAGGCACTTGTACAGGGCAATCTACGTGTTGCACCAACAACCATACCAACGTATACCAATATTAACATACAACAGCATCTGACATGTTCCAGTCATGTTCCTATCACCAGAATTTCATTTTAACAAAATCTCCATCCAAGCGCACCTCCCAACATCCATGATCATCTTCTCATAGCGCGTCAAGGCTTGCAGTGATTCCTGAAAGTCCTACCATCGAGATCTCTGGGAACTGACATGAACTGACCCTGTGTAGACCTTCAGAAATGATCTGCACTACGTTACAATATGTTATAATATATATATATAATTATCATAGAAATGAAATTTGCCCACCACTTTCGTGTTCAACAAGTCACCTCGGCCATGTCTCTATACAGAAATCTGAGACATAAACTGCAAACATCCACAGCAACACTTGCTGCAACACATCTTCCATGGAATAGTCACAATCATCGGCCGCTCCCCAGACTCCCCAGCAATATCCATTCAATCATCAGCAATCATCAGCTGCAATCATCAGCTTTCCAGTCCTCATCGCTACGATCAAACTCCCAGTCGTTCACCACTTGGTGCAGACGGGGTCCATCGCGTTTCTGCACGGCTTCCTGCAGTTTCTGTTTCTGCTGATCTCGTCGTGCGATGGCCTGACGCGCCTGGCGAAAAGGGGGCGAGCTCTGGGGGATCTCAGACGGGCAGCGACTATCACTGTTAAACAAGTAGAAGTTAAACTATGTTAAACATTGTTAAACTCTGTTAAAACGACCAGAATTAGTAAATTTTCATGTAAATTAGATCAGTAATTGAGACACACTTGAGATCTTGATGATTACTGCAAGTCTTTTAGCGTTGTTGGTTCAAGGCGTCTGGTACAACGGTCAAGGACTTGATCTCAGACAGAATGCTGCCATGATCAGCCACACCTTGCATATCAAGCATACAAAAGATGTATTCAGTGTAAGACACAACGGACATGTTTGTCCTTTTCGGTCTCCGTCATCATGCTTTCTGGTAGTGCCAGGTCATGATTAGAGATGCTGCGATCTGATGCGATATCGGAAAAGCTGACATTGGTGAAGACTCAAGGCTCAAGTCTCTGGGATTTCCATGACCCCTGTGGCTTCCAGATTTACCCAAGTCATCCATGTTGGTTTCATAGCAATAGCATGCAATAGCATGCAATGGCCTTCACAGCGTGGATGTCATCTCTGCCAAAGTCCCATGTCGCTAAAGCAGCCTGGCAGGCCGTTGAGTCAATTCTTTGGACAATGTCTCGGCTGATCCTTGCTGCTACCTGCAGTTGTCTGCAACAAGAACACCAACACCAACAACATCAACACATCAATGGGGATATCCCCTTACATAGGCCTTATATAGGCCTTATATGGTACAGTACCTCCATTTTAGGATCCTGAAATTCCCATTGAACACATATCATTTCCTATCTGAGCCGGTGTTGAGGGCCACAAGGTATCATACTTGGTATGTTGCCGTCGGGGAGTCCCGACCTGGATCGAAGAGATCTTCCTCTCACCCACAGCATGGTCCAGCGCTCGCGCCCGAATTTGGTACCTGGAAATACTCGACGGCGGACAACAACAAACATCTTAAGTTGGCGGAGAAAAATCCATAAAACATCAATGTTTTTTTTCAGCAAAATCCACAGTGATTGCGCAATCTTCTGAGATTCTAGACCATCACAAGACTCAATGTTCCCAAAACTTGGACATGTTCCAGATTGTACCCTCTGGTAAACTAACATAGCTATTGAAAATGGCCATAGAAATAGTGGATTTTCCCATTAAAAATTGTGATTTTCCATAGTTTTTTGTATGTTTACCAGAGGGTAATCAAGAAAACCAGTGCTGAGTTGACCAAAACAAACTGGCCTAACCGGCCGCTGGAAGGTCACATCTGGGTATGACTCAAAACCCTGGTAACCTACTCAGATGTGAACACCAAAAACAAATTGTAAGTGCTGCAAATGGATGCTCACACTCAAAAACATTCAGAATTCAGAAACTATAGTATCACAACCATTTCTCAATCCGCATCTCGTTCACTTAACATTTTACTCGTGTAACCATTTTTATATTTCATCCCCATAAAACTGGTTTTATCAAAACTGGACATTTCAATCAGCCGACCAATCGACTGATCGATGGTGTGAAATCTCCACTGGTCGCCTCTTGATCATCTTCTTGGCTTCTTCGGCGCCGTCGATGTTCATGGGACCATCTTTACTCATGTCCACAATGGCCTCCCCGCTGTGTAAAAATGCCCATGTTTCTTGGGGAAAATATGGCCGTTAAAAATAGGGAAAATATGGCCATTTCATAGGGATTTCATGAGGATGAATAGGGAACATATGGCCATTTATATGGGGAAAAATATGGGATATGGCCATTTTTGTTGGGGAAAATGAGGATGAACCATGGGATATAATGGGGGACCCTATTTTCAGACAAGATGATTTGAGATGCTTAAGCCGAGGGAGTACATGATTGATGTCATTATACTGTACGATACTGTAGGTTTGCTTGCGAGGTCTAGAAAGTATTTGGCCGTTCATCAAAATGTTCCAGCAAATGTTTCTACAGTACAAAGATCAAGTTCTTGAACTAGTTCATATTTTCTCAACAAATTTACATTTCGAATGGGTATGTGTAAACTGGGAAATGGCAGGGTCAATGCAAACATGATCAAACATCACGGCACAGTGGTCCCTGGACTATGAATGTTTACACCCAAATAGGGATGGATTGCGGATCCAAATTTGGAATCCCTTTTCATCTCATGGTTTTCAAAATCGGTTTCATTGGTAGATGGCCTTTGATCTGCGGTATTCCCCATTTCGACCCATACCTGGACCCCTTGAAATTCCATGGGCATCCGGAAGAAATTTCATCCTGTTGCTTGCCACAAATGGCGTGGTTGCAAAAAACATCACAAACAATTCTCAAGAATTGGATGGTAATAGAACCATTTTCAGATCCACATAAGTAATACTGTAGCGTGTTGTTTGTTATATATCACTGTATCACCCGTTAAATATCCCATTATGTGTATATATATATCCCTTTATCTCTACCATGCTGGGTTTGATACCACAACTTTAAGAGGCGAATATCCCCATATGACTGGTATTTCCCCACCTGCCAGGTGAGGGTCTCTAGATTTTATCAGAGTTACTTCCTCCTTCCCCCAGCGAACTCCAGATCTCAATGGGCACTGCCGGACTCCAACTGGGAGTGCCAGATCTCAGTTGGCACTGCCGGACCTCATCCGCAGGCTCCAGATATCGGTGCTCAACTTGCATTGTCCACTGAAATCTGGCGCTCGCATTTGAGGTCCGGCTGTGCCCATGTCAGAAGGAATGTCAGAATAGATGCCAGATGGATGCCAGACGTAGTGCCAGAAAGAATATTAGAATAGATGCCAGATAGCATGTCAGAAAGAATGTTAGAATAGATGCCAGAAAGAAGGTCAGCATATATGCCAGAAAGTATGTTAGAACAGATGCCAGGTAGAATGCCAGAAAATAATGTCAGAGTATATGCCAGAAAGAATGAAAGATAGAATGTCGGAATAAATAAATAAAAACATATATATATATATACACACACATATATATATATACATATATCCAATATATATTTTCCAGATGGTATGTTGGAATACTGTGTCAGGGTGGGGATCACTCGAAGAAAGTAATTTCTACCATTACCATTCCAAGGCCATGCTTATATTCTATATCAAGGCCATGCAAATACGTGGACCATATCACGGCCAGTAAAGATCCCGTAAATATATGTAAATATCATTAAATATCATCATTGACAGGCAGGGCCAACACCCCAGATACTTACGAAAACATGGGAAAACTGAGTAGATAAGGAGGCAAAATGACCAATTTACATCAATTTGCCCCGTTTCACTTACCTACTATGGATCGGAGCACCTCTGATTATTATAAGCCATATTTGGTGCCTAAATCCCCATACTCTGGCATTTAAATCTCCATTGATCCATATGAAACCCCCATGAAATCTCAAATCCCTGAAGCATAGTTTTTGAGATAATCAAATTCCCATGAAATATGTTGGATGTGCTTAAAGACCTCCCAAAAAAAACTATAAAGATTCCCCAAGCTCATGGATTTTCCCATCGGGTTTTCCCCTAGCCAAACAAACGAATCTCGCCTCGCGCAGCTTGGGCACGTCGCGGCGGTCCAGGGCTTCCTTCAGCAACTTGGGCAGCTCTTCTGCCTGGTGAAACTCATCGGATCTCATGGGATGAAGACCGACAGGGAGAAAAATATCAGCAACCCATCCCTGGCAGTGTGTCAAAACCATTGGAAACCCCTTTTTAGTGAACATCAAAATAGCTGGGATGGTAAATGGATGTGAATAACCCCACTAAAAATGGTATTTTCATAGCTATTGATCCATACCCATATGAGAACAATTAAGAAAGTGCATTAATTAGTGCATTCAATAGCCAATGGAATTTGATACATTTGATGTGGACTGGGATAGGTGATAGTTTTTTGAAAATTTGTTTTGGAGTCCCATGGAATTTCCCTTGATCCATTCAGGAATATAAGTTGGAGTAGAGCATTTTTCCAGCATCTGCATGAATTTTGAAGACCTGGGAAGATTGGTGATTTTTACACATTCTCCTGGTACCTGGTAGATCTTGCAAGAAGGGTCCATTCAACTCCTTCGGACCTTCTCATTCCCTTCTCTTTTTTTTCTGGCATTCTTGTGTATATTCTCTGGTTATTTAACATAGCCATGGAAAATGGTCCATCTATAGATGGTTTACCGTTCTTAATAGCATGGTGATTTTCCATGGCAAACTGTGAATGTCATAACCAGATGGTATATGCAACTGTTAAATTCAGATCCAAGCTCGAGGTTCTGGTGGATGTTTGCAGGGCACACATCGGATAAACAAACACCCATGTTTCTGCCCGGTAACGGAGTGTGCTACCTGGTACCAGTACAATCTAAAACATGAACCAAACACAACCAAACATAGACAATTACACGATGCAAGATCTACAACTCCTCGGTGCAACCGCTTCGTTTAATAAAACTATGCTGAGAAAAGTGGGTGCTTTTCAGGTACCATATGGTATCATGATTCGAGTTTCACACCTCAATAACGCCCCGATACACCTGCGCAGTTCATACCAGTTCTGAAGCGTGCCGTATCCAACCCTGCCATTGGAGCCCCGAACCAGTCTGCGCCATCGCTCCAGATCTTGACGTGCACCTGATACCTGTAGCAAGAGTGAGAATACACAGCAGAGGAAGAACTATGATGATATATTTATATGATGATTATGATTAAATAATCTTTATATACATATAAACATATTGATGCATGTAGCTATATTTTGTTGTCGTCGTTGTTATTCTTATGACGATTATGATTCACTGCTATCATTCAACGTGACACCACGACTAGTTCCCCGGGGAATCCCTTGGTGCTGGGCGTGGCCTCTGCATCATCTGCTGAATGCTGAAAGCGGGATAGGGCTTGAGCAAGGCCACCCACCTTGCTACGAATTCATCGCCGGTGGCAGGTGCCAGTAGCAACACGGTAACAAAATGCTGACCAGAAATCACGGAATGGAAAGGACATGAGAAAAGTGTTTTATTGACGAGCGTAATGCCAATCCAAGCAGAAGTCAACGGATTGCACGTCAGCAGCGCACAAGAGGAGAATGCGTGCGAAAAGCCGCACTCACATGCACCCTTTGCAGGGGCAGAGCCATGTGGGACTAGGGTGGGTTTTCCGACACGCAAAACAAAGAATAAAACATCACAAGAGAGGAGAGTGGTGTTCAGATTCTGCTCAAATCGTTCTGCCCCTGCCGACGCACTGCGGGGTTCGAAAAACCACTTGCAACATGATGGAGATTTGGTGAACTGCCGTGGTCTCCTGGTCAGCCTCTAGCGGCCGCGTGTGAGTGGCAAAAGCATGGCCTCTGCCAACAGAATCGCCAAGGCCACTGGCTGGTTGCGAATCATCAGACAGAATGAAACGCCATCTGGCCGACTCTAAAAAGAGGATCTGCAAAGCAAAGCGGAGATCTACTTGCTGGGGCCCCAATTCATCAGAAGGCCTCAAATATAGGGCAGATAGTATAGTGAGTTTCTCATCAGAATCGGAGTGGCCATTCTTCTTCGCAATCAAAGCTTCCTCAAGAAAAATGACATCAACTTGCACAAGAAGAGAGGCGGCCCATACCAAAGCTGACGCGATTCGAACCAACCTTAGCCTTAGTAGCGATCTCTTCCTTAGTAGAAATTTCATCCTGAATAGGTTGCTCGCATGCCAAATTCCACCATGGCAGCCAGGCAAATGGACAAACACACAGGGAGGGACTCACACTTGTGACAAAGACCTATGAGAAAAGCTGCTGCTCCAAATTCGGAGCAATAAGAAGACAAGAACAAGAACTCTGAGGGTCCATTGCATGCAATTTCTTCCAAGTAAAAAAATAGTTTTTTTTTCCAACCCAAACAATGGCATTCCAAAAAAGGTGAAAATGCTACATGTTTGAACACATCAACCAAATCCAATGCGTTTGCACATCTTGGGCCGCTTTGGTACCTATACCTCCCGTTGATCTATACCAAAATAGAAACTTCTACCTGGATGTTCATCCCAGTTGGTACGGAACGTGGGTGATAACCATATATATTATACACAGGTATATATACAGGTCATAGACGATTCACGATTTCTCGCATCCACATCTACATTGGAGGTTTCCTAAAATGGGGGTACCCCCAAATCATCCAAGCCATTAGACCATGACTTAGTATTTACACCTATGGTTCGGTGATCCCTAACCCGCATTTCACAAACCGATGGGGGTGATACCATCATACCAAGCTGCATCTCTCGCCCGATGAGCTTTCTTGATCTCCTCTACGCCTGCCTAAGCGGGGACTTAACTTCACCAAGAAATGTATGGCGGGTATGATATTCACTGGATTTACAGTAAGGGAAATTGACTTAACCAATGCATATGGTATTATTTATATGATATTCAATGGATCTATTTCCCTTAAACCCAATCTAGAATTGGCAGAAGGAATGAAGGATTGATTGGTTTGACTACGAATTCTTCCAACTGTGATTATTTTAAGCTTTGGACTCACAATGAGTAGTTCAGAAAAGCTATGCAAATCTGAGAATCTGGGACCGCAAAAGCTATGCAATAACTATAACAGGTTGAAAGTCAGTTTGGCAACATCTGTGGTTTTTCTGTATGACTTCGTTCATGAAGTAGATTACTTTAGTATTGAAACCCACGCTTTGGGGTTCCCCCATGTGAGAAACCTCCAAGAACAGCTATGGCAGGGCCCTGCCTGCCACTTGCCAAGAACAGCCCTTGCTTTGACCTCTGCACTTGGCACTTGCAACAACACCACGCTGCAACAGCGAGGTCATACTGCAGATTGTCATGATTTTCTGCTCAGAACGATGATATAATTGGGATATCATGGGGAAAATGGGGACATCATATGGATTGAAAAAGTGGTAAAAATCATGACATCATGGGATATAATGTGGTAATCATGGTAGTGCCCATGTTTATGAAACCATCCCCATCATCCCCAATGAAATTGGCTATACCCCCCAACTGACATCAACTGGGATGATATTTGGTACCCCCATTGGCGAATCCAACTGGGATCTTGACAAGTCTCGCAGCCATCTCCATCCTGCCCCAGGGCCAGGTGTCCAGTAGACACGTCCATTCTGCAACTGTCCAATCCGGCAAAAGGATGCAAAAAGCTGATCCAATCAATTTCTCTACCACATTATTCACATAATTATTATATTATTATATAATATTATATATATCATAATATTAATAATTAATTAATCACTATCTTTGGAAAGTACAGAGCCCCAAGGACCATAATTTTAGGCTCCGACTCCACAGAATGGCGATGTGCAGGGTCTAAGCCTCACAACCAGCGGACTCCGAGGCAATCATGGAGATCATCATGGACGAGTTTCACTAAAAACAGGGCGGGCAGACATGGCTAGACATGGCTACCCTCTGGTAAACTAACATAACTATACATAACTATGGAAAATCACCATTTTCAATGGGTAAATCCACTATAAATGGCAATTTTCAATAGCTATGTTAAATTACCAGAGGGTAGATCTCAAGAGGCAAAATACACTAATTCAATGGAATTAATCCATCAAATACTGACCATGAATCATGGATGTGAGCCCCTGAAGCACGATGGTTACATAGAAAACCTCGAGGATGGATGACCGCACATCGATAGGTTGAACATGTGGTAAGTCTAATAGTTGTTCGCATACAATGAGGCCGTAAATGAACATTGAATGAAGCGGCACTATCTTTTATAATGGGAATATAATCCATTATATTGTATATTATCCAATGAATATTATCCAACTAATATTATCCATATATTATCCAATAATCCATGATCTTTTCCAAGAAGACCGGGCATCGCACTTGCACTTCGCCGCACTGCATAGACAGTCCTATCGTGATGGCTTGTGACATGACCCGCGTTGAAATAGCTCGTTACGTTCCAGCAGGGCAGCTTAAGCAACTATCATGGTCTGAACAGCATCCCAGGGTTTGGGGCATTTCAATATAATGTATATAAACATCATGGATTATATATCCAATTGATATCTTGATTTCTGGATTTTTGTTAGGACCTTTTCCGGATTTTTCCGGATTGATTGCGGAATAAAAAACCCAGCAATAATCCCGCAGTCCTGAGATAACTTTCGCCATGAGCCTCCTTGAGAGCGCCCTGATGTTCCAGGGCTCGGAGATGTTTCTCAAGTTCCCCACCATACCCATAGGATCCATGTATGGTATATATGCTAAAATTGGGGGTATATTGATGGTAAATGTTACCATATATAGCATGGATCCTATGGGTAATAGATTGAGACAGATTGAGACACCCAAAATAATATAAAATAACCACAGCTTCATGGGGAAAAAAACGATGATAAAGCATAGAGTATCAAATCGTGGAAGACCCTTTCGCACCTGCAAAAGGTCCACACGACGGCCACGGATCGCTGCCTGCAAGGTGGGGTGACATTTTTGGCTCGTCCCCATGGTCGGTGTACCACTCACAGGCCTCCACAGGTTTCCACCAGAGACGCACAGACTTCAAAGCCTGACAACTGCAGCTGGGAGTGATTTGACCATAAAAGGTCTTCAACGTATTTTCCGAAAAACCACCAAGGATCCACTTGTATGCATGGTTTTCTCGAACTCGAGAGTGCTTTGAAACAGGGTAATTCACATTAGGTTCCCTCACATTAGGTTCCCTGTCGCAGCAATCTCCCTGAACTTGATGTTTGAAGATACTTCTGCACGTGAGTGCATAATACAACCCCATCTCCCCTGTGGTCCCCCTATGGTCACCCCTTTTTGGGAACCCACAACAAATCAGATCTACATTCTTCATCTAAACCCGGTTTTTCATGGTTTTTCCAGAAATCCATGTGAAAATTTGGATAGAAATCCATATGAAATTTGGGATAGATATGGAGGCTTCCAATCCATGAGAAGTACCCCAAATCGTCCAAGTCATGGATGGCCATTTCAGTATTGAAACCCATGGTGATTTGGGGATCCCCCATGACTTTTCAGAAACCCCCATCATGAAAGACACAGCCCGGCTGGGGGTGGGTAACTGGGGCATCGCCAGTGGCTCATAACCATATTATACTCCAGTTATATATCTTGTGGAATATCGTCGATTATCTATCTATCTATCTATCTATCTATCTATATATATATACATGGAATCACAAATTACATACGTACATCTATGCATCCACAAGGTTATATGAGTTATAGAAACCACTTGCGAACTGGGGACGTCACCGCAGCCGCCCACCTCAGAGAACTCCTCCTCGGAATTCTCCCACACTGCCATGGTGTCCCTGGCATCAGATCCATTGGATGGTCAAAGAGAAAGAGCTGATATGAGTTGATCATGATATGCAGCATCATGATGACGATGACGATGACGAGAACGATGACTGCAACGATGACTAGAACGATGACTGCAACGATAACTATAGCGATGTTGATGGATCTTGACAATGAATGACAGTGAATCATAATAAGTGAATCGTAATGAGTAATGATGTCATATATGTCCAACTGCCATACATATCCATGAATATCATCCACATATATTCAGATCATATGGTTTTAACACATCCATGATGGCTAAAGTCTTTTTCCGCCGATGCTTGGTCAAAGGCGGGTTGGCAAACTGTTCAGAAACATTTGCAACACAACCGGACTCAACCTGTTGGCTTCAGTTTGTCAAAAAGGAAAAACAAAAACGGCATGAAAACAACTCGCAAACAGGTCCCATATCCGAGCCGATGGGCCCAATGTGTTGCCTTGGCGAGTGTGGCGAATTGGAGTCTTTCCGCCTTCCAGGGAGCTGCATCAAGCTTGCAGCTAGGAGCTAGGACCATGGTTCGAAGGGCACGCCTGTCATCATTTCGATGAGCACCATGACCTAAGGACGAGGGCCACGCTGTGCCACGATACTGAAGCAATGCCAATGGTGCTGGATGTTGCTAGGTATCTGCGGACACTTCCAAAGGAAACAGAAGGCCCCAGGTAAACTCAGCAAATAGAATAAGATGCAAGTGACTGGTTGTGATTACAATATTGTAGCCCTTGTGCAGCTTGAGGTTTGGGAGGACCACAATACCACGACAATGGTTCTCAAGAACACAACACATGTTTTTTTCAAAACTCAAAGATACAAATAGGTACTGTACAGGTTCACACTCGCCAGCGTCGCAGAAATCTGGGTAACATCTGGGGTTACGATTTCAATCATGTTCAATCAAATCGCAGGCTGTGGTTTCAGAAATTATATCAAGACATCAGAAAAACACACAAACTCCATTAAACATACATCTCAAAATCATTCAAAAATCCATTAGAATCTCATAAAATCCAATGGGTTGTTCCAGCCGCAGCAGCCGCGCAGCAATTTTCAGAGCTCCTCGGCTGACAGGCTCCGTTCTTTCACGTGACACATGCGATCAACGACACGCTCCAAAAGCTTGGAACCGTCCTGGGCTGATTTTTCCAGCGCAAAGGATGGCTTGGGAATAGTTGGGATAACCAGTGACGAATTACTCACTAAGTTCATCAAATTATATCAAATTTCTCTACTGGTAGACTTTGGATGATGGGGGATCGATCAACCATACTTTTTGTTGAGTCAACCGCGGTTCTTTTTTACTGTGGAATTGGGAACCTGTGTCTTCCCGGTGTGCCGTAGTTGTGGCACCCCGAGTGCAATGAGCCCACAATATTACAATGCAAGTTCTTTCGGTCCGGTTTCAAGAATTTGATGGCTAAACTCCAGACATCTCCAGACTAGACCAGTGATGAATTCACAAGGCAAAAACATAGGAAAGATGTGAAACACGCAAGGAAACAAATTTGGTTCGTAGGGCACATGGTGTCAGCATTGCTGTGGCAGCCGCAAAACCAGTGCCAGTCAGTTGCAGAACCTCCTTAAGTCCCCGACAAAGACCATGTTGACCCGGGCGTATACTGTGTCAGGAGGATCCTGCTCTCAAGGTTCAGCAAGCACAAATACCGTACTCACCAAGGAAGAAAGATCCAAGTTAAGCTTCAGACATAACCCTTTCTGATGGAGAACACATTACATCAGTTCATGGCAGCTCCCCCGACGTCAACCCCAAAATCCACCCGCCATCCACCGGGGACCTCGACAAAGGCACTACGACATTCCTCCAGTATAGCCTGGAGAGCCGAGAAAACCACCGCTGTTCGTATGCTATTCAAAGTAGCGAATAGATACTTAAGTGATCTTAAGATATCTGAAGGGTGAATATATTGACATGCATTGACAATCATTGACATGCTTTTTCACAATTATAGATCTTAGTTTCGGTGCAATACATTCAATTCCATGGATGAATCAATTTGGACTCGCCGGCGTCAAGCTCCCACCTGCTGGTCATCGCCCTGAACTGCATGGAATTTGCTGCACATCGTGAAGTTGTTGCTTGCGGTGACGGCAGCCAACAGCAAAGCGTGGTCATCCTGGAGATGCCGAAGACCGCGTGTCTCTACATCCAAAGGGGGAGAGAGGAAGTACAGTCAAAAAAAACACCAGATACATCCAGATTCAAAATGATTCAAATAGGAAGGAATATTATAAGGGTTTTGGCCCAGTTTCACTCATCCCAAGATGACCATTCTCATGTTGCAACATGGCACAATCGCCTGTTGATGCTTCTAGTCTCTTTTTAGCGGGAAGATGCGATTGTCTTCGGATTCAGCCACGCACCACAGGGTTGCTGCGCCGCCATGATTGTACTGGTATCAGCTTGTATCTTTGTGTGCCAATCATGCGCACTTCATTGACATAGTTGGTCGGTCTGTCGGTCTGTCGACATTTTGATAGACAAACAAACAAGCAAATGGACGCATGATGACGCTTGAATGAACATGAATGAACATGAATGAACCTGCGTTTGCAATGTGACAAATAAATTCTCACTCCATGTTGGGGATATCCAAAGATTTGTCCACTCATCATGGCCCAAGTTCTGCTATTGAACTGTCCTGTGGCAGCAGGAATTGCAGTAGTCCTGCCAAACGTGCGTTCGTTTCCAAAACTTACCTTGGCCAAACCATGTTTAAGTTTCTATGGGATTCTGCACATGCATCATCAGATTTCTTTGAAGAGTTTGCAAGTTTCTTGGTGGATTAATGTAGATTACATGTCACATCATGCCACAGTTTAGCGACAAGCAAAAAGACTGGCATTGCTTCAGGATAGGTTGGGAGTTCAATGAGGTTGTGTCAAGATGTCGAATCTGAAAGCACGTGCGGTCATGTTACACTTGCACAAACCAGTGTGTGGCTCAAGTCCTTCAAAAGTTAGAGGTCAACAATTACCCTCTGGTAAACGTTTACAGTTTGCTATTGAAAATGGCCCATTCGAAATAGTGGATGACTACCCATTAATAGCATGGTGATTCTCCATTGTTTTTGGTATGTTTACCAGAGGGTATAACCACCATTTTCCTATGGTTTTCCTATGATTTTCCCATAAAACCACCATTATTCATAGGGTTAACAGACATTTTCCACAGGGTGGAGCCAGGCCAGCATGTAGAAACTATATCAGACTATACTTGGCATCAACAGGTTTGCCTCGCCTTCCACGACTGCACCGATTCGTCCCAGTCTGTGGAGGACTTGGATGGCATGTCCGTGGGCCACGTTCCAAATGCGGCCTGGGCCATCTGGGCCCATGGTTTCACGATATGTCACGATGGTTGTGGGATCCTGCAGTAGGTCACCTTAAAAATCTCTGGAACATCGGCAGCAGTCGGACAGTCGGACCTGTCATTAATGACAGGCGACCTCGTTCGAATTCGCGCTGCATCCAGGATCCTGGCAGTGACAACAAGGCACGCCCCTTCCATGGTCTCCCCATATCCCCCAGTTTTTGGGAAACAAAATAAAGATAATGAGATATATTGAGATATATCCTCAGTTATATGGGTTGGTCGGAAAATCCGCCTGCACCGAAGGTGCCGAGGCGGTTTTCGTGAGCACGCATTAACCGGAAGCAATTGCAATAGCTATTGAGTTTTATCTCGGAGGGGCCTTTATTGCTCTAGAATCCAGTGTTTTTCCACGTTCTTAAAGGGACCTAAAATCAGCTAAGTTGTTAAACTTGGGCCCAACATGGGCCCAACATAAGCCCAACATTGATGGGCCCAACATAGAGCCAACATTGGCCCAACGTGCTCTCAACATGAGCCTCACAAAGGCCCAACGTAGAACATATATGATATATGGTTTTATTGGAACTCCGGAGCTAACACTCTGGTGCGGGCGGTTGTCATCGCGAAGTGACCAGAATAGAGACTAACCCCAACTTCGATGCTTAAATTATGGATCATTATCATCTGATGCTCTTCCCTATTTTCTTATGGTTGTTTGGAGGGTATACACATTGCCATATCATAATACACAATCTTCAGACCCACAGCCCCAAATAAATTCAAAATCCCTCTGTCATTCAAGCATACTGAGTACATACTGGTTGGTTAATAGGGATTCTCAATCCATGGATAATCCCCAATGGTTGGTAGAATCCCATGATTTCCCATGGAAATTTCCCATGGAAATCACCCATTTGTTTGGGGATCCCCCCGTCCTCTGCAGCGACTAATCCCAGAGCCCTGCAGCGTATCTTTGCGCCAGCCAAGTGCCAAGCCGAGGATACGTAGCCGCGCTGCCTGCCACTCCACGCGCTGAAAAAACCAGGAAGTCCAGGGTTTTTACCATCAAATATACAAGTTTTCTAGGGTGTTTACCATGGGTAAAAGCACCATCAACATTTGAGGTTTGACCAGGTTTGACCATCACAAATGGAGATCATTTGGGATAATTTTTACCAAACAAAATTCATGGGAATGTGGATTGGATTGCTTCTAATGGGCTCTACATGGCTCTACCACATCTGTGCTATGGTCATGTCTAGGAATATGAACCCATTTTTTAGCCTTACAACCATCAGTTTGGGCCGTGACTTCGAGTTGTAGCCTTATGAAAACAATGTTGTAAGTTGTTGGTATAATTCATCAACAACATGATAGCGAATGGTACTTGAGATGTAGCTAAAGGGACCAATATGGACCAATAGTAGCAATTGTATATACTGAGTATACTATACTATACTATATACTGTAATACTGTTGAAAAGAAGACATATACCCGTTGATATCCGGTTGATCAGAGTCAGAGACGCTTGTTCCAAAGGTCTCCCTGAAATGGACATCGTTAGCCTCCTGGAAGCTGTCTTGCCAGCTTCGCAGCAGCAAACCTGTCGGCGCTGAGCAACCCAGTGGTTCATTCCAACTCGGGATGACATTTTTGAAAGATTTTGAAAGTATGAAACCTTTGCAACGATCATCTGTGATCATGATCATCCAATCTTGGAATCTCCACTTATGAAGAACTCCCCGGCCTGGAGCAGACATCGACTCATCTTGGAAGCTTCGGGTCAATGGATGACTCAAACCATTCCCCTGGTACAACACTCCCGGGCCAGGAAGCGAAAAGGAAAGAATCCTCAGCAAAACATCGACGTTGCTCAGTCTCCATGGATCTCTGACAGTACGGTTGGTCAGACTATATGGGAACCCTAAACATCTACCATCTGGTTATGACTAACGTAGCCATGGGAAATGGCCCATTTATCAGAGGTTTGTACGCAAATCCCCGTAACTTCTCAATGGTATGTGCCTGTCCCATTTTTTGCCAAATCCCGGAGATGGGCACATACCCCGGAGAAGGGCACTTGACTCTGAACCCTGCAAATATGCATTAAAAAGACCTGGTGCCCTTCTCAATGGTACGTGCCCATCTTAGATGGTCACTTGTCCTGAGATAGTCCGCAAATGAGCGAGAACCCTCATCCAGCCCTTCGAATTTATAGAGGTTTACCTATTAAAAATTGTGACTTTCCATGGCTATGTTAAATAACCAGAGGGTAGATGTTTTGAAGATCTTGAAGACCAACAATGGCCAAAACAGTGGGTTCCCATTTCCTCGTCCTAAGCATTCACAGTCATGTCACCCAAGTATATAGCTACAATAGATGCGCAATACTTCAGAAAGTTGCGAAAGCAAAAGGAACCTGCAACCGCCAATAAGATCCAATAAGTGTGTTAATGGCGTGCAGCTGTAAACACAACAGCAGCAATAAAATCATGTCGTCTTAACTTGTTTCAAGTTGGTTTGAAAATGCGAGGACTGAACTTCGTGAATGTGAAACCCTCCAAATCTTTTCAAGGGATAGTTTAAATCTTCAATGTCTGTTCATGTTGACCCGACCAGTAGTTGCATTTAATCACAGGGTATGGCTACTGTGTGGATACAGCATACAGCGACCACTCAGAAAATGTGGCACAAGCAAAGCAAACTCCATTCATTCCCACCATGGCTCTGTTTCTGGAAGCTGTTGCTGGGCAATGTCATCGCTGCAGCGGCAGCCCATGAGTCCAACACTAACCAGTGCGCCCCACCTTGTCAGTGATGGAGCTCTTATCATCACATGTTTCTTCTTATTGTTCTTTTTTCATTTGTCTTATTATGTGTGTCTTTCTTCTCTTCTTCTTCATTAACATCATCATATTATTATTCTCCTTTTTCCTTTTCGGTGTTTTCCCCCGCTTCTTCTTCGTCTTCTTTTTTTGTTTGTTTCTTCTTCGCCATCCTCCTCCTCCTCCTCTTCCTCCTCCTCCTCATCACCACCATCATCATCATCATTGTCATCATCATCGTCATCCTCATTATCATTATCATTGTAGTCAAGGTTGTAGTAACAGTGATGGTGATACTCCTAGTCCTAGTCTTAGTCACAATTCGAATCGAACAACATCATCACAAGATTCAGCATAGCAATAGCATCAATAAGAATCATGAAATGATAATAACAGCAAAACCACGACGATTCTCAAGAACAATGGCAAACCATAAAAACCTAACATGGACGACCTAATACTGATGATATCTGATGATCATGGTCATCCCGATCCGCCTTCCGTCAGCTTGGCCAAGACGGCATCCACCTTGTCACGCTCCAAGAATCCTGTCTTCGACCCGCAAACCTTGGCGAGCGGAAGCTCCACATGTTTCGAAAAGCTCGGGCTTTTGAACTTACCGCCAAGTCCATGTCACATGCATAAACACATTCATATGTATATATATATATATATAAAATACATATACGTACATCAGGTATACATTGTATTGTAAATACTGTAACATGTCTATCATTTCATATGGGTATGGGTCAAAAGTAGGTACCCCAATAATTGGATGGTTAATACTAAACTAGACTAACATCTGTGGTCCCCTAGGTCTTCCATTTTGACCCACATCCATATCTGTATCACATGTCTATACGCTCAGATCGCCATTCTTAATCCAAGAATCGACGGGCACCTCCGCTTTGCCCATTTCAAGGAGGAACTTCTCTGCAGCCTCCGTGCCATTTAAAGTGACGGCAGATGGCAAGGCAGAACTAGCACCATTTTATATCGTTAATATATATATATTTATTTATTTATTTACAATGGTATTATACATAGATTTATATGGATATATGTATATAATCAATATCTAGTGTATCAATTTATATCAATACTACAGGTTTAATGTAATTATATATATCAATATCCAATGAATATATACATTGTAGTGTTGATGGCGAAACACCTATTTATTGTGGTAAAACACCTATTTGGAGGTTTCCTAAGTCATGGAGGTATCCCCAAATCATCCAAGTCATGGATGACCATGAATTAGTATTGAAACCTGTGGTGACTTGGGGATCCACCATTTTCAGAAACCCCCATGTATGTATAAGTAATTATCTAATGTGTGGAAATACATCAATAATTGATATTGAAAAAAAACAAACATATACTAGATGTAGATATTAAATGAAGATATCAAATATTGATATGGATACTAGATTTAGAGACTAGATATAGATACTAGATTTAGGTACCAGAGATAGATAAATGAATCTTATCTTAAAACAAATCCAAATTGCTGTGATTTGTCGTATTTGTTCGTATGATATCCTATGAAACGCAAGCTGATTAGCCCTTCTTCGGCACCTTTTGCATTCTATGAAGAGCATGCTGGCCAATCCCAGACCTGGGGTCTAAGCTGCTATTGTTCGGGCCATCCATGCGTTACCCCATGGAAAAAACTCCATGGTAAACATATTAATTGAAAATCAATTGAAATCAATTGAAAGTAAAATAAATCAACTGAAATCAATTGAAAGTAAATTGAAATCAATTGAAAGTAAAATAAATCAACTGAAATCAATTGAAAGTAAATTGAAATCAAATTGAAATCAGTTGAAATCAATTGAAAGTAAAATAAATCAAATTAAAATCAGTTGCAATCAATTGAGATTAAATTTAAATCAATTGGAATCAATTGAAATCAATTGAAAATCATCTGAAATCAATTGAGAGTAAATTGAAATCAATTGAAAATCAATTGAAAATCCATTGAAATCAATTGAAAATTAACTGAAATCAATTGAAAGTAAATTGAAAACAATTGAAAGAAAATTAAAATCAATTGAAATCAATTGAAATCAATTGAAAATCAACTGAAATCAGTTGAAAGTAAATTTAAATCAATTGAAATCAATTGAAATCTATTGAAAATCAGTTGAAATCAATTGAAAGTAAATTGAAATCGATTGAAATCAATTGAAAATTAATTGACATCAATTGAAATCTTTACTTAAGATCATGATCCAAAATCATTCAGACCCCGACCCTTCGAAAGTTACTAGCCGAAAGAGGCACCTTCAAATGTTGAGGGGGGCCCTACACTAATCAGGATCCAACATTATAACACCAAAAAAACATATTGCTGGTTCAAATTATCACCATATAAATCCCATATAACTTGATGATCCCGTTAAAGTCATCAACATTCACATACATTCACCATATTTATCCATGTTTCACATCCATGCGTTATTATATAATGTCTCCCATGAAAGCACCATAGAACTTCCCGTTTCAGCCTGGCCTGACAAGGATGAGCTGCAAACCAACGGGAGAAGAAGCCAACTGAACTGAAGCCAGTGGTCACAGCCAGCACCTCGCTAGCTGATCGCTGCTCTGCTAAGATCCCTTGGATTTTTGGGTCCCACAGCATCAATCATATAGGATTGATGGCCACCAAGGATATCCAAGGATTGGTACAATGGATCTAGCATGGCTCATCTGTTCTCGAGGATTGGTGGATCGGCAATTCGACTCTTTTGGGATGAACAGCAGTGCGATTCCAGCGGAGTGAACCTGCACATCTGGTTCATGCAGTAGATAAGCCACCGCCAAAGCTGTTCGTGGCTTCCATAACAGTCGAGTGTAATACCTGTGGCCCAGGAATGGATCAATCAGCGTGAAATAGATGGATTTGGCAACCCAAAGATGGGGACTTTAAAGATGGGGCACAGCTGGACCACTGGACCCAAACTGTACCTGTACCGTTTTTGCCCTGGATCCTGTGGTGTTGATGAGGTTCACATGGAGAAAAGATGAGAAAAGGCCTCGAAAGATCGACAGAAATCACCAAGGGAAGTGGCTCCTGCGGCAGGTCCAAGGGGTTGCTTCACTGGCTTGAGTTCCTCAAAAACCTCAAGGGAAGCCCTGAATTTTGCCATGGTTTGCCCCCCAAAAAAATACAGCGAAGCATTGTGTGGGGCGTGGCTTCCAGGAATGGATCTCCTGCTGGCTAGGAGTCACGCAACATGCAAGAAGTGTCAGCAGTCTGCCATATCTGCCATGGCTCAAAATAAAATCAATCATCTTTGGATTGAGTCGGATTGAGGGTCACAAAAAAAAAAAACTGCAGCACTGCCAAATTAGGGTCCCTTGGTTTCACCCTGAAGTCCCTTGGGTCCCTGGGTCCAATCCCAGGTCTTGACAGTCTTGACAGGTCGAAGTCAACAGGGATCAGAACACGCCCAGAGAGGGCTTCTGGGTTTGATTTACCCTCTGGTAATTTAACATAGCTATGGAAAATCACCAGTTTTAATGGGAAAATCCACTATATATGGTCATTTTCAATAGCTATGTTAAATTACCAGAGGGTAGCGGCTCGTGTTTTCTAGATCTTTCTAGCAAATCTCCATCCTTTGTCCACAGGCTGTACTGCTGGTGAAACCTGTGTTTCATGCCACCGGTAGTGTTTGCTTGAGCCTTCAACTTGGATCAAAGTGATACTATTCGGGCAAATGTGAGTCACATCAGAAATAAACCCCAAATTCGGGGTGGTTCCTCTTATTAACCACCTATGGTGAGATTGTCGTGAGGTCGCTGCTTCACTCTTCAGTCCAGAGCCTCTTACAATCTCTCTTCAAGCAAGGAGCAGATCAGCCAGTCAAGACAAGCAACCAACCAGCCAACTAAGTAGCAACCTGACAAGCAACCAATGAAGCACCAATCAACACCGATCAAGTTGTCAACCACTGGACCAACACTTAAACATTAATAATATCATGTGCTTGAGAAACTAAATTCGTAGCTCCAACTGGCTCCCCATGGCTAGTATCTGGAGGATCATCCCAATGGTTTTTTTAAGCCTGGTTAGTAAGTCATCTAGAGTCAGTTATCCCATTTATCTACCCTTCAGCAATCAAACCTAGCAGTTGGAAATCCCCGCACTAAAGTCAGCTACAAATGGCTCACAAATCCCAGTTACTAATCCTGCACAGGTCAATGTGAAGGTACGCCATCTAAGTGGCTTATCCCACTTATCCCAGATGACTTCTAAAGCCATCTAAGTGTTGATGAGTCACTTATATAACTTATAAATGGTTCATAAGCCTGCTTAGTAAGTCATCTAAGTGTTGATTTTTGGCTTACCCTCTGATAAACGTTTACAAAAAACTATGGAAAATCACCCTGCTATTAATGGCTAAACCAACTATTTCTATGGCCATGTTCAATATCACTGGATTGGTTTAAGGGAAAATTTACAGGAAACCATGGTTTTTACCATCAAATATAGGGCTTTCCTGTAAATTTTCCCATCATCCAATTCTATGACAATAGTTTTTTGTATGTTTAACAGAGGGTATCAGTCCCAGTTCCTCACCGGAACTGTTGTTGGAGACCCCAGACGTGCACTCTCACGGCCGCGGGGAGACCCTGGAGCTGTCTTCGCCTCCAAAGGAAATATATGGGAAATATGAGAATTGACATCGGAAGACGTGGGGGGCAAGTATATATATATATACATTATATATATATATATATATTGTATACATTATATATATATACATTATATGTATATATATATATACATTATGTATATATATATATATACAATATATGTATATATACATTATATGTACATATACACATTACAAATATATATATATATATATGTGTGTGTGTCACACACTTGGAAACTAATACAAAAAAAATAGTGTCATTTGTGGAAGAAAATATGGGAACGGAGTGGAACATTTAGCCAAAAATGATGCTGAATATGGCCAAAACCCATCAAACGTCTGGGGTAAGCACTGTGGTTGCAAAAAGTGGGTCAAAGTGGGATCAGTGAGTCCTGATTCTTGGGCCCGCGGTCAATGACACCATGTGGGAATATAAAGGACACACCACACACACCAACTTGGGATAGCAGGATATACTGGATACAATTGGGTCAAAATGGGTGAAAAAATAAGTTAAGAACTGCCAAAAACAGAATGGATCGGGTCTCTGCAAACATGGAGTTGGAGCCAGGATAGCTCAACATACTTACCGTAGCTCAACTTGTTGACTCTGTATCAATACCTATAAATGCATTTTGGGAGACTTTGACATCCATTTCCCAGCTATTTCCCAGCTATTTTGATGGTGCAACAATGCGGTTGCTGACTCTTTTGCTGCAAGATTTCAGTGTCTCCAGACTGGCTGTCTGGCTCACATGCACCTCGCCCGGGCCTCAGTGGGCCGCCGGCAGATTCTGACCGCTGACCGGTCTGGCGTCTGGAGCTCGGAGATCCATGATGGACCGCAACTGACAACTGGGGCTGGGAATACTGAGTGGTGGGTAGTTATCTAAGTTATCTAAGTGTGTCTGTGTTTGTGGATTGCGTGAATGTCTTGTAATTTATATCACTATATTATGATATATTATGTATACACAGTGTGAGTGGATGATGTGCGCGCGGGTGTATGTATGTGTCTGTAGGTTTGTGTAAATTTAAATGCAATGCAATTTGCTTGGATACCATAGTGAAGAATGAATATAAAGAAAATTATGATCACAACAATCATGATCACAATCAGAGCAAAAAGTCTGGTTGATTCTTTTGAACCATGATTCAGGTCGAACATAGTTTCCACCGGCTCGTGTACCATGCTGCACCATCGACAACCGCCGCATCTTCAGGATCTCAGGCTCTCGACGGAACGCCCAAAAGCCATTCCCAGCTGCACGATTGACAGTTGCGGAAACAAGGCTGGGCATATTCTGTAGTTGCGCATCTTTGGAAAGGAACCCTAAAGGTATTTGATGCAACGCTCCTTCGCCCTCCACCACTCTGGATGGCTAAGGCTGGGCCACCAAATGAGATTCACAGAGAAATACAGAAAAAAAAACATGTTGATGTCTCTGTGCTACAGAAAGCTACGAAGCCCCCGAGGAACTATGCTTCCAAAGCTTTAGTTCACCTTCAGAAATGCTCAGTATATGGACATGAGAAGGTGAAATATCCCCCCAATGCTTCCAAAGCTCTGGTGCAGAAATGAGAAGAATACAAGTTGGACGGGGCGTTGCTTAAAAACTTAAATGGCGAGGACCCGCAAATGCCACCGGGGATGTGAGGTTCTCGCATCTCTTTGCGCTCAGGAAAATTCCATGGCAAGTCGTGAGGCTCCTATGTAAGAATGCGCTGGACTCGCGTATCAAGATAATGTCAAAATCGTTCAAAATGAGTAGTTTGAATCTACCTGTTTCTCTGACTCTGGTTCTAGTCTTGCAGTGCTTGTGGCGAATGATCTTTCAAAGCATGATGAATTTCACATGGCACAGCTATTGGTCCACTGCGAAAAAAGCGCTCCTCCATGCCTCAAACATGACGAGCTTCACCTGTCAGGACATGTCAGGACCATTGGGTCCTGTCTGTTGAATCTCTTGGTTGAACGAAAAAAACATACCCTCCGGTAATTTAACATAGCCATGGAAAATGGCCCATTTATAGTGGATTTTCCCATTGAAAATGGTGATTTTCCATAGTTATGTTAGTTTACCAGAGGATATTCACTGCAACCAAGGAGCAGTCACTGATGCACCTTAGATCTGAATGGAAGAGCTGGAGGAGGTATGTACGGTTTTTTTCAGGCAGGAAAACTCCAGCTGGGAACGTCCGAGCCGAGCTTCATGTCCATAAATCGCAGGGTGTCTTTGCTTCTTCCACACTGCTGCTTCACTGTGCTGTGGATGAGCTGCTGTGCATGAGTTTTCCTTGGCACTCCAGGGCCAAATGTCTGAGTCCAGAGCCCAGCTTCCAACCTCCCTGTTCAAGGAACAGCACAGTCAACATCAAAAAAATCCAGACTCCTATCTACTGGATCTACAAGTAGGATACTGATGTTGAACAATCAATACTTCTCTTCCACTAAAATCCTGGTTCCATCAATAATAATTAAGCCATATTCAGCCTCCCCCAGTTGGGTCCCTCTGACCACAACCCTCCCCAGTGGATGCTGGATCCGAGGCACGCCACATCGTAAACTAATTCTGCCTGGATCCAGGCTTCCGTCTCTGCTTCAGCCTGCAAATAAACCAATCCAGCAGCTTCGTATGTGCTTCCTGGATTCAACGGGTGTCTCTATCTATCATATATATAGTCCATAATTATCATAATAAATATATATATATATTATAACATTTTGTAACGATCATATCATATACATGGAGCATCACAAAAATCAACATTAAATGTATCTATCGGACGCACCATATATATATATATACACAGTGTGTATATATATATATATATATATATGTATGTATATATATGTATATATATGTATATATATATATATTATATTATATATATATTATATATTATATATATATATTATATTATATTATATATAATATATATAGATAGATAGATCTGGATATACCTGCTCAGTTTAAATTCCGGCCTTCGTCATGCCTTTCTGCAAGCATTTTCGATATTCTCGTGCAAGATCCCACAGCAACTGCAGCCGGCAGAAATGACAACCCTCCCCAAGGCTCAACATTTGGGATGAAAAATGTCAACCCCAACAAAATATACCCACCGACTTACACTTAGAACCTAACTGTGAGTCCGCAACTATAGATGGTTTCATCATGTTTCATACTACCCTCCGGTAAACTAACATGTTTTTTGCTATTGAAAATTATACCACAGAAAATGTGGATGTAGCCATTGATAGCATGGTGGATCTTTCCAGTTCGTTATGTGCAAAATGACCAGGCCTGGTTTTTATACCTGCAGTACAGTAGATCCAAAAACTTCGGTCCTGGGGATCCGGACCCGTAAGAGCTGCTGATCGCGGAGATACTGCAACTTGGCTGGGCTGTGCAAGGCCCCCGAGAGCCACGCCTGATCTGGTCCACTCCACCGGAAATCTCTGAAAAGTCTGGAAAGATCTGGAATTGAATCTGATGTTGAGTCCTTCTCAAAATAATAGATACATGATGATACATGTACAGTATTACATGTAGATACAGAAACCCTTAAACATCAATGATTCAAAATCCTGCAAAGTCTCCAAGTGCCTTCAGCACGCGCCAAAGCAATCGAGCTACAGCCTAGGTCGTTTTCCAAGACTCAGATTGGGGGTTTCTTAAATGGGGGATCCCCAAAATAGATGGTTTATAATGGAAAATTCCTGTTCAAATGATTTGGGGGTCCCCCATTTTAATTTAGGAACCCTCCGATTGACTTTTTAAGCCCAGACCCAAACCCTCCGATTGACTTTAAAAAAAGAACTGAAGAGGGGTCTCTGCAAACCATCCAAAATTGTGTGGATGTTCGAGTCTAGGACCCATTATTTTTGCCCGGAGAGTATATTACTGTGGGATTGCTTTTAATGGTTGATTTCAGGGAAATCCACATGAAAACATGTGATGAAATCAGGGATGTTCCTTCGTTTTGCCCATATGTTTCCACCTCCAAGCTGCTGGGAATTTGCTGTGCTTCTTCACCAGGTCTCGAGTTAACATTTGTTGCAACACTCGGCTGTCGCCTTCGGCGAAGCGACAACCTCAGGGCATCTGGGGACCGCATGGATCACTCGTTGACTGGCTGCCCCATCTGAGCTGGTGAGCAGAGCAAGATGTCGTTGTTGGAGCCAAAGGGTGAAGAAGCCATCAGACTGAAAGACCCGACCTCGCAGTGCTGAGTCACTTTTCCACGATGGGGCCCAAACCTAAGGGGCCCCTACCTAGTACCTAGTGCCCAAAACTCTTGTACATAGTACTTATTCAAAGATACCATCTGGTTATTTAACATAACCATGGAAAATCCCTTATAAATGGAGGGTTTATAGCTGGGAAAATCATCTATAAGTGGGCCATGTTCCATGGCTATGTTAAATAACCAGAGGGTACCAATGATGACATGCTTGTTTCGATTGATGGAGGCGGTGAATTTTTAGAGCTCCGACTTGGTCTGCCAAGTTACATCTCTGCGCATTAGCGCAAGGGACTTGATGGCAAACTCCACTGCTTCAACCTGCCGGGCATCCAATATCAGGATATGGTTTTGTCCAAAATGGGACCCAACATGCCCAACAAAAAATTGCCATGGCAAACCCATATTCTTGCTGCGACATTCTAGCTTCGAATTGGTCAGCTGTTGGGATTGCCAACTACTTACAGGCATACAGGTATAGTAGCGTATAGTACCATGAGCGGCTGGGCAAATGGACAAAGGTATCGCTCAAACAGTGCTCAATCAGCAGGAAACCTTTGGACAAGTAAGGGTTTCTTGCAACTTGCAAGTGACATCTGGTAGCCATAAAATTATATAAAATTCATGGATACTAGCTGCACTAGATTGGTTTGTCTGAAAATAGTGTACCCCAGAAATCTGGTGGTTTTCCCCATTAAAATGACACAAGTTGGTTGTTCATCCCTCATTCTCAGACACACGTATCATAGTGTCGACTATATATCCTATTGCATCACAGTTATATCCCACCATATTCTCATATTAGTTGGCTACATCCCCATTGGTAATCAAACATGGTTAGCTGGAAAATCCGCCATTTAGTCGTATTTACTTCGATGATTTTCACAGCTATAAACCTTCATTTAGTTCGACAATTTTCGCATCCAGCCACGTGTGATGACACGGAGGGTACATCCATCAACCACTATATTAATATATGTATATATATATATATTAATCATCATGTTTTTGACCATTCTCAACCACTATGAACCATTACTTAAGCATTATATAAACACCGTTAAACATTATCAATCATCAATCATCATTAATCACCATTTGTTTAACCATTCTTAATCACCATTCATCATCAATCATGATTTACGAATGGTTTAATGATCATATTTATATATATATATATATTAAATCATCATTAATCATCATCATCATCATCAATCATCATTGTTTGTTATAATTTACCCATTGTTAAATCATCACTAAGCCATACGTCGTTATAATTTACCCATTGTTACCCTCTGGTAAACTAACGTAACTATGGAAAATCACCATTTTTAAAGGGAAAATCCACTACAAATCACCATTTTCAATAGCTATGTTACTTTACCAGAGGGTAACCACTGTTCACGATGATTTCACCCATGGCCTTGGCAGCTGCGATGCGCGTCACCAGTGCTCGCGAGAGATCTTGGGACGACTCGATGGCCTCGGCCATGGCGGTTTTTCCGTGGAGGTGGAGGTAATTTTGGGCTACCCCAATAGCTGGACGGGGGGTATCCCCTAAAATAGGGAAGCCTCCTAATATGTGTATATATATATATATATGTGATTATACAGAAATTATACATGTATAGATTCTATAGATGTGGATGTACATTCTTTCATTTTATGTTGCATGTACTTCTACATTAGATATACGTATGTACATGTGGATGCATGCATGCATGCATGCATGCATGGATGGATGGATGGATGGATGGATGGATGGATGGATGGATTGATGGATAGGTAGATAAATAGATAGGTAGATAAATAGATAGGTAGATAAATAGATAGGTAGACAGATGGACAAATGGACAAATAGACAGATCGATAGTTGGATAGTTGGACAGGGTTGGATACGGGTGGACAAGGGTGGACAAGGGTGGACAAGGTTGATCATCTGTCACCCCCCATAGCATGACATGTCATGGCCTCCGCAAACTCTTTCTGAAGAATGAGCAGGAATGCCTGCCGCGTGATCCATGACTTCCATGACTGGTCAACTGGTACTGCTTGGTGCTTTCCCATCCAAGATGTGGAGGGTCAATAATTATCGAAGTCGGGGATGAACATTGCACAGCAACTAGCTTCGTGTGACCAGCACCAGGGTCCTGACATATCCTCAAAACCTTTCTTGTGTGATAACTTGTGTATAGCTTCATTGTTTGATGACTTAAAGACTTATATGAAGATCATGTCTTCCCGAAAATTTGGTGTAAAATCAATGCTTTCCTGTAGATGTTCCCTTACAGTTCTTACCAACGTCAAACCATGATGTTTTGGAAAAAAAAAACATGATCATGGGTCAACACCAATAATTAATATAATTTGAATAATACCATATGTTTTACATCAATAATATCATAATAATTCATAATATACCACATCTTTTGGAGGATGCACATCCACAACTACCAGCCATGGAGTTCACCCCTGGCGACCGCCAGCGCGGACCTTGTGAACGTTCAGGCCGACCTGGCTGGTCCAATATGGAGGTGTCCTAAAATGGAGGTACCGGGGTACCCCAATAGCTGGATAGTTTATGTTGGAACATCTGATTAAAATGGATGATAACTGGTGGTACCCCTATAGGCCCTAGGAAACCTCCATATAAATCTTCCATTTTGGGGGCATGATCATACCCCTTGAGAAAATTTCTGGGATCTGTAAATCCTATCAGCTAAGTCACTGGCCACTGGATCCCAAAAAGAATGGGACCCTGGATGACCGGCCTCCACACTATGCAGAACTTTCTTCATGTACGGCAGCTCTGCCAGGGGCATCTTTCGCTCCTAAATGAAGGGCGGAGTACAAAAACAAGGACTTCGCAGCACGGCAAATGCCAAATCCAAATGAACAAGTCACAGAAGCAGTTAGTGGTTCCATCTGAAAATAGCTGGAAAACATGAGCTTCATCAAATTGTCAGTCCTTGTCTACCCAGACCATTCTGCTTTCAGCGTACTTTCGGGTGACCCGAAGAACGCCCTCCACATATGCAATCGCCTTAGCTGTCACAAGACTTGTTTGCAGGGCATTTCACTTTGGTACCATAGCCTTTCACATCCTTAAAATACTGCCCGAACAAATGATACAGGATATATTCACCACATCAAGTTTAGGTATCAAACACGGCAACTGGAAACCTCCAAATTCAACACACAAATTACAACTGAACCATTCGAGTGTTTCCTGGATCCCCACTTAAAATGACCAATGACTTGGATCCCGAACCGGGAAAACATCAAAGAACCACCCAAAGAGATAGAAAAAGTGAAATCCTCAACAAAATAGTGGCAAATTACGTTTCCATCTTTAATTTTTGGGGTGGGATACTAAGTACAATGTATACATATAATTATGTATATGTATATATGTATATTATATATATATGTATATATATATATGTATAGTTGGATATGATCATGAACATCTCCATCTGAAGAGCAGCTAGCCATTCCCAGCTCTCGCTCCGTGCCCAGTGGCTGAGTCGGAGATACAAAGTCGCCCTGACAGCAGCCGCTGCGCGATCTGTACAAAGGAAGGTGGCCGCTGACCTCGGCGAACGGAGGTTCGCCATGTGGAGCCATGGAAAAAATCCGGGGTTTTTTGATGGTTTTAAAACAAGGGAACCATCCTTTAGGGGGTTGAGCCACTTGGAATTGGTGAAGTTTTGAAAACAATGAAGTGGGGATGACTAAACCTAGTATTTCTTGGAATTTTTACAAGTCAAACGATATATTTTTTTGGGAGACTATGTAGCATGCCATGGCCAACTTCCCAATTGATCAACTTAGACATGTCTATATAAACATCCCAGAAACGACAAAAGAATACATTCAAATAAGTGTCTGTCTCGGTCAATACCAAATAATATTAAATTGGTTTGATGAACCTCACAATTAGACTCTATAAAGGCAACTCTTTTCATTTTTGCGATGTTCACTAAGGTACCAGGGCTTCGACATGTGATCCATTCCCAAATATTACGACTATGTGTGTTCCCTTCCACCAGCCCGCCTGCGAAGGTGTATTCGGCCTTCCAACTTCCGTCAGGAAAAGCGCGTGGTCGCACATTGCACAGCTTCGACAGCAACGCATCGGGAGGCAACCAAACCTGATCAAAGGACCTCGGAAATGGGCAAAACCAATGGGGTAAACTTGAGAAATTCTAGGAAGTCTACATTTGGACCCAAAAAGCAGGCTGTTTTTTTGAGCTGTTTAAGCTATGGCCGGCCTAAAAAAACATCAGTAAATCTGCATTACATCGAAACTGAGATCCTGACACTCTGGCATTGTCCAAAGCATTGAAAGTTGTTTTCTCGCCCATGCTTTCTCGATGCAGGCCGGTGGATGTCATGTCCTCAGTGTTGCAACCTGGCTCTGAATTGAAGAGTTGTTTAAAAGAACTGTAGCTTCTCATTTCTAGTTCTCTACGGAAATCACTGAAATTAAGGTTTCGATGGGTGCTCCCCAATAAAATGATGGCTTAATTATATGGCTTAATCTTACTAGGAGCAATGATATGATTTGGAGGGATTTCCCATACTTTTCAAGTACCACATGGGTTTCACTGAAAACATGGTACCCATCCCATCCACTGGTGCATCATCATTTTCCATATTAAAGTTGCCATGAATTGGGGGTTAACCCCCACCTTCAGACACACCCAAATTCAATATGTTGGATATTATGTGTATAATATATATATATATATATATATATATGCGAATCGGTGTTTGTTTGTCCGATTATGTCCTGATAGTCAATGTCAAAGTAGACGTTCCAGTGATGACGTTACAAGGGCATCAGCTTCTGCATTGCAATTGTTTTCTCTGACGCTGCAGTGGGTCTTGAGCCAAAAGGGCGATTGTCACAACCCTTTGGCTTCGAGTCTTAGAGTGAATTATGTGATAATGTACATTGGTCCGTAGCTTACACTCTATTCGCGCCCCCCACGCATAGCCAACTTTGTTGGCTACGCGCAAAGTAGTGTCCCTCGAATTGATCCACTATATTCGCAGCTATTCATTTGTTGAATTATGGAGAGCTAAAGTCCGTTTCAGAACTTCCAATCTACATGGCGGCTTGCTACGATCTCTACCAAAAGATAAAGGTTCTGTTCACGTGCATGTAGACACGACGTAGTCGGTGTCTAGCATTGAGGTTCGTCCAATGTGGCGTAGCCAGCATGGAGTCTCACTCAAGCATGTGAATTAAAGAAATCAAAACACGAAGTTGACTATGGAACTAGAAGTTTACCTTCCCGTCCCTTCGTCGGTTGAGACGTAGACCGCTGTAGAAACTCAGCGTTTCATGCAATGATGTTTAAAAAAAATGTGTGGTTCTAAATTAGCCGGCTCAGAGTCCCCTCAGAAATCATTCAAAATGAAGTAGAGGTAAATCTCGAGCAATGATTGCATCCTCGCATCGCCAGGTTCAATCAGGACCTATGCAGAGGTCAGATCGCTTTATCATCTGTATCCCCATCCATAGTATCCCTGATGGTTCCAGTCTCCGCCACGGTGTGAATAAGATTTTCCACCTTTTCCTTGATCTTTTCCACCCTTCTTTGGCGGGGTCACTGGAGCTTGTTTTGGCTGAGGAGCGGTTTCAACTGTTCTCCATGTCGCTGACGATGATGCTTTCGCTTTCGACACTCTTCCCAGTGCTGGTGCAGCTTTCGGGGCTGCTTTCGATTTGCCAGCGGCTGGATTGGTACGTTCACGATCAGCAGGAGTCGGGGTATCAGCAATCGCAAGTATGTGAGCTTCAGACAAGTGGATGCCCCACCTTGGTCGTTGATCTTCCCGTTGCTTGATGTGATTGTAATCGTCGATCGCATCATATAGCTTTTGGAGTAGAGGTCGCGGCAATTGTCGGCCATTCTGAAGGATCAGGTGTAAAAGTGATATTCTTCGAAGTGGTGGACGAAGAGCACACACAATGTCAACTGGATTCAGTGTGATTGTGTCCTGAAAGTCAACGTTCCTGAAGAAATAAACAGCATTTACCCTATATGCACCTGCAATGATTCTTCTGACCATGACGTCTTGTCGGTCAAGGGCGTCGCGGGCCGCTGTGGTCTTTCTCATCTCATCCATTGTGGTGTCACGTTTCGACAGCTTCTCCATCTCCTCATCAAAGAATATGTTTTGCAAGTCATCATACGTGTAGCCACATTCAAGGGTATATATGAGAAGTCTTTTGAGTACCACTGCCCCATAGTATGCATTGACGAATCCCTCTTCTCCGATGTCGTCCTTTTGATTTGGTCGGCCGATCTCTTTGTAGAGCTCTTTCATCTGTTGTGCAGTTGGTTCAATGAGTTCACCATTTTCATCCTCTCCCAGGTAAGGTGTCCTTGAGTCCAGGTCCATCCTGAATTTCTGGTTCTGTTGAAAATGTTTCCATGCCGTCTCGATGTCTCCACAGAAGTTCCGTTGGAATAGTCTGTAGATCCTGACGATATGTAATCCAATCTGCAACAGGAGGATCTTGATGAATTCTGGCTGAGCATCTCCAATTGTGCAAGGTTCGATCGGCAGGACCTTTGATCCAAACTCAATCCGTTGCATCCACTTGGGGTACTCAATCACTGCATCACGAGCTTCTCCAGCCTCGTACTCTTCAATGTTGATTTCATCGACCGCTTTCTCTTCATCATCATTCTCATCGGTCGGTTTTCCCTCTTGATTGAGAAATTTGTCGACCTCATCTTCTTCTCTGAAGTCTCTTTTCTCATCATTGATGTCGCCCTTCTTCGAGGCTTGATCATCATCTCCTTCTTCTGGTTGAGTCTCTTGTTCTGGACTCTTCATGGTGACATCATCATCATCTGGCATCACCTCGTCGTCATCATCATCACCTGTCAAATCGATCTTCACCTCCTCCCATGCTTTCTTGACATGGTCTTTGAGATCTTCTTCTCGATGATGTGATTCGGCCTTTGGTACTGTAGCCACGGTGATCTTGATTCGTTTCCTCCATCCATGACTCACCAAAAATCCTTTGCACATCACACAAATCGATAATGGCGCAGGGGTCTCCATCAGACATGCGGGGCATAGTCGATGGTCCTCTTTGCTAGGACGATGAGTGACTGCCAATAATGAAATTGCATCATTCCAATCCGGATGTCCAGGGAACAATCTGTGAGTATGACTGAAGTGACCGGTCCTGATATCGACAAGTTTTCGAAGTTCGTCTAGATCGGGTGATGATTCTTCAGGCACAATGTTTCCAATGAGCTTGTCAAATCGTTCAATGGTGGCCACCCTCTTCGCGCCTTGCACAGAAAGAACAAGTTGATCTCTTCCCTTCGTGATCATGAGACGGTAATAGTCCTTTTCTCTCCAGTCGTAATACCAAACCGCGTCGAATGATTCGAATGGAATTGTTTCTTGGACCAAAATGTGTCCGTCTGCTGATAATCGAGGGGAGAACTTGGCGATGGAATCATACGTGATGTAGATGTAGACAAGATCAGTTTGATCAATCTTCCTGAATCTCAGCACCATTTGACTTCTCACATCCCACGGCGCGAACGGCACGAAGAACGTATTGATGCGGTCGCCTCCTCCTCCTGGACGTAGTCCTTCTCTGAAGATTTGAGCGATGTTGTCAAATGTGGTGCAATGAAATCCTCCTCCAAGAGTGTATCCTACTCCAGGGTTCATCTGATATGAAGTCTTCTTGTCTTCAATGTGCACACCGCCTTGAACTCTTGAATGCGCCATAGGGGCTCGGATTGCCACCGGCCAAAGCCAAATCTCTCGATCTGCTGTGCCGATCTCCATCCTCAGTGTTTGTCGATCAAGTCTAGAGGTCAATCCATCATTGAAGTTGTTCATGATGTGTTCCAACTCACCTTTCGTGACCTTGAGTCCTAGCACTTGTGCTCGGATTCTCTTCGTTTGCTTGTACTCAGTGAAGATCACTCTCTGGAAGTTGTTCCATCTCTCAACAAGTATCGGGTAGTTGACGTAGGCCGTTCCAGCCAAAGTATGTTGGTCTTTCCAAATGGCATCGTACTTCAAGATCGACTCAACATTGACCCAGCCTGCCTCGTCGCATGGTAGTCCACGGTGATTTCGATTGTCTCTGACGCAACCCACGGAGTGGCGTAGCGCTGCATTGAACCTTTTTGACAATTCGACTATCCATGGCGGATTTTCCCACTTGTTGCCCATCCACTCATTCTCGCCATATCGATGCACTTTGCACCAGCCCATTCCAAGATATTCTTCTCCGTTGATGCGGGCAAGTTGAAGTTTACCGATGTTGTGGCCGTGTGTGAATGGTTGGATGTACTTGAAATTCCAGTTGTTTCCATGTTGTTTTCTTTCTTCAGTAAGCCATTTTACATAAGCATCATGATCAAGGGGGTTCCAAGCGTTCAGCTCTTCAATGGTCGGCAAAACAGGTGGAGATTCCTCAGCCGCACGCTCAATCAGCAAGTCAAGCTCATGACGATTCTTCACACCTCGGCTAATTGGGTTGACTTCGACACCATTCACTAAGTATTGTCCTCCTTCTTCACGATCACCAATGTCGTACATAAAGGCTGACTGACTGTAGAAGCACTTGGTCACTTCCTCTTTCTCAGTGAATCTGGTTCTTCCCCAACGCTTTCCTCGTGGCATGACGTTCTTTGGGAGCTTGTCTTTTCTGCCTCTGGTTGCAGCTTTGGATCTTTCGGATGATGATGGGGATTTGGACTTCTGATCCATGATCAACCTCATGCGCCATATGGTGTCCTTCATGTTCTCATCATCTGGTGTAGTACATTCGTCAATGCCATGTCTTCCACCACAAATGAAACAATATTGAACATCCAATGCATCTGAAATCAGCTTCTCAAAACGATCACGGATGTCACGCACCTCGGTTCGGCGCTTCTTCGCTTCTGAAGGTTGTCCCCCCATGCCATCTTCCTCCTCCTCAATCTCGATGTCACCAGCTCCGGCATCGGTTTCTCCTGAAGTTTGTTCTGCTCGAGGGCCCCGCGCCGTAGGCGTCGTGGTCTCCTCATCAGGTTCATCAACTTCATCCACCTCTTCATCGCTTGATGAGACCTCAATCATTTCAGGGTGGTCATCGTAGTTGGCTTCTGGGAGCACCGGCATTCTGGTGATCTTCTTCTGCATGAGTAGGTCAAAAATTCCTGCTTCTTTCAAGATTGTAATCACCATGTCATTCTCGACCGGCGGGATGTATGCTTTCCTGGATCGGTTTCGCTTTGTGTTGATGGTGTCGGTAGGTCGACATGAACTGCTGAATAGCCAAAACGACTCTTCCAGTCCTGCGAGGCAACTGTCAAGGTTTGCCCCCCATCCAGCGAACATAGTAGGGAATTGAATAC